ATGTCTGCATGGTCTTTAAGTTGTTGTCGGGTATTGCCAAAATTGATGCTTCCAAATTCTTTGGTCTGGTCAACTCTAGAACTAGAGGGTGGTCAGTAAAAATATCCTATGCCACTCCTAAAACGAATCTAAAACGTTATAGCTTTGCTTGTCGTGCAGGATCTGAATTCACTTCTCTTAAAACTACAGTAGTGATATCGCCTCTAACCTTCCGACTTTTCAAAGCGTATAAGTAAGAAGCAATTGTTGAGCTTTAGTGAGCTTTAACATTTACTATCGTTAACTACGGTCGTGAGTTGTATGATTTCATATATCTTGCGTTTGCCTTATGCACAACGTTATAAATAAATAAATAAATATATAATAAAGTAAACAGGAGCAAATTTCTCATACTGTACTTCGAAATAAAACCTAACTCACTCTTCAATTGCCTGACCATCATGTTTGAAATCGGCGTATAGCTTCGTCCGATTAACATAAGCAAGAAGGACACGATACGAATTAATATTGGTAAACTTCGCGACCGGGATCGAACCCATTTCATCGCTTCTGACAGCTATCAGCGCTACGCGAGCGTTCTGCTGTGAGACGTCGAAAGCGGACATCAGTGACGCGACGAAGCGATACATCTGAAATGTTTTGTTGCCTCTGAGGTTCCATTTCAAAATGAGGAATAAAATCTTGCCAGCGGCATTTTTCAATATTTAGACTCCTGAAATACTTCATAAACTGCCCTTACGCTCCAATCGACAATTCTGCGTATTTATGAAAAATGGAGTCGAATATTTGACTTTAGGAACACCTCATATCCTTTCTACTATGAGCATAGTGGTGGCTTAAAGCTTGGAAACCTCCCACTCTGTCGAGGCTAACGAGTTCGAAGCTCACAGAACAAATACAAGATCCAGTAAAAATCTGGTTTCTCAAGGCAACAACGCAAGCAGAAGTCGTGTTAACGATTCCCTTTGGTCTGCAGGGAAGACCTCAGAGGACAATCACATATGTAGCATTAACACGCACAGAAATCAACCTACAAGAGCGTTAGGGCCTAAGCTGCTACAGCCGCAATGCCTGCGTGGCGCCCTCCCCTATACTGCGATCTCTCGCTTCATACTCTTCTCTCCGCGCTTAGTCTCTGATTGCCTCAGCCGACTCTGAAGGTGAGTGAGCCCTTAACCTAAGCGTTTCCGACAGATTCTTTTACTGCCGCCATTTCGCACCAATATATTCGTATTCATCTGCAGGAACCACACCAATCTGGTCCTGGATCGTGCCTTCAAAAATGTGGATACCCGACAGGAGGCCCGTCGCGCGGCGAAGAAGGCAGAGTCGTGGACGAGTTGCAGCGCGTGCTGTGCGATGTAGGACGTGCAATGGGACACTCTATTTAACTTGACGCGAAATCCCTACAGTACGCGCTGCGACTCGTCCGCTGTCTCTGCCTTCTTGCCGCGCGATGGGCCTCCTGTCGGGCACCCTCAGATGTGGAATCATTGAAGAACATTCGTTGAAAAAAAAGGGATTTGTTTCAAAAACGGTGCGTCAAAAGTCTGGAAATTTTTTTTTCATCGTTATGATTTACTAGTACTTCTTCATGTTCACGTGTTTTGGCTAACAATATGTGTTTATACCATGTTTTTTCGAAGGCCAGCACTACTCCTTCGATAGTTTCGTTACTGGTAATGAGCACAGTATTTTCTATACCCAATGATGTGGGCGCAGAATTTTCTAACATCAAAAACATCAAGTAAATCGAGCAAAACCAAGCCCATTCGCGCGAATGTCTGACGCGCATGCGTGTTACTATGCTGTCGTCAGTGTGGTAAATGAGTAGTTGGGGCACGAGCCGGATGGAACTGGAGAATGGCTTATTGTCAGAGCATGTTCTCTAATAAGCAGTGTTAGATGATAAGCGTGTACGATATCGAAGGAGCACGATCAGACGAAGAAAGAGAGAGGTGTCGCTGAGGTTTTGTTCAAAGGTAGCGCATCAAAGTCCGCTACGAAAGTAGCTGAGGACAGCGAAACCATTCATCACATGGCCCACATGCTGAACGAATAAACTACGAACTAAGAGAGCCATTTTCTGGCTCTCCTAAATGCTTTCGGTCCCAACTTGGTGCGGTGAAAATGGCTACGCCTCTCCCGCCAGGGGCGCCGTCTCCGCGGCAAAGGCGGTCAGCGACGAGTCGCGCGCTGTATTCGGTAATGGCAGTCAAGTTAAATAGAATGTCGCTCATTGGCCAGTTCATTCGGCACATCAAGCGCCGCGATCTCCGTCGCGCCTGGCCTTCTTGCGGCGATGGGCTCGGGGGGGGGGGACGCGTAAAATTGCTTGATGCCTAAGCATCAGTCTTAGCAATCTGGGAGTTTGTTTTGTTTGTTCCATCGTTGTTCATTGCCCTATACCTTTGAGCCGAAATCTTTTTCACATCCAAGCTGGCTATTCGAGAATCCTTCAGATTCCATTTTCTGCTCGCAATAAGAGAAAACCAGCTAATGACGAGACTAAATACTCTTCCTGCTAATTGCGCGCAGTCTCGAACTTTCAGGAAGTCCGTCTGGTTCCACAGAATTCCCTTCTTTGTTCTCTTCTTATCGTGGAATCCTCCTTCAAATCGAGGAGTAGTGTAAAAGATTTTTTTCAGTGGAGCAGTGATATTGAATGACCCACATCATCGAATCCATTTTCCGCTTCCTTACTGACATCGATGAGGAACAAGATATCGAAACGGGGTACAGCCGAGTGGGTTGTGGTAGGAATTGGAGATGACAGCGTCACATTTGGCACCGCAGTGGACCCTGAAAATTGTTGCATGAGAACGTCCAGTGAGAGCTTCCGTGTTACATAAGTCACATCCACTGTGCGCTTATAAAAAGAAGTAATGAACCTATGTGCCCATGATCGACGCAGAAGAACTGCTCCATTCTTCGGAACTCCTGATTCCATTCATCCACACCGTAAATCGAAAATTCCAGTGATTCCTCCTGACATACGAACGGATCCGAGTAGTACTCGAATGTGCACGTAGAACGCCGGTAAAGATCCGAACGCAGAACCACCTGGAAAGAGAAAAATTACGTCAAGAAAGAAATATTCGTCACAAATTTTCAACACTGCACCATGAGTCATTCCCTGGGGTAGTATACCGCGGTTTTTCATCGAGAGAAGGGAAAGAACAACAAGTTGTAAATAAAAATAACAATAACGACAAATAAAATCATTAAAGAAACAATATTTCCTGGGGGGATAGTGACGTACAAATCAGCTATGCACAACCATACACACCTTGCTGACCATACACACCTACTCATTTCTTCCCTTACCTTTATCGACTAACTTTAAACTCTTTCGCCTCTACTATAATGCAATAGGCACTTCTCCTGCAGTCATTGGTTCGGTCGATCCCCCTTATGGAAGAGTGGTTGCCTCACCCTCCAACTGCGAGAAGATATTTGCAATACAACACCACAAGGTGAACTTTCAAAAAGCACTGATTGCGGTTTCCGCCCAACCAAGGTTGACCGTGCGCTGCGCTGATTTCAAAAATTTTACGAACCCCTCCTTCAGGGAGGTATCGATACGACCCCCTCCACCCCGTCTCTGACCATTTGCCACAGCCCCACTCCCCCACCTTGTCAGTCCAAAACAGCAGACGAGCGAGGGAAGCCTGGAGAATAATGTCTCAAGGACTTCCTTCATAAAGTATTCCCCAAAAAACGTTACGAAGGCCGTCGAACACGAACAAAAAATTCCCCACTGTGCTACCGCACGAACAGGCTTCAACCGTCCAAAAAATTACGACCACCATTAATTCATATTGACCTTCATCCATCCCAAAGTACGAGACCACTTCTTCCCTTCCTTTCCTGGGCACAGCCCTTCAAACTTCGTGCCCATCGCGCAGCATAGGGAGAGCTGTACCACTGCGCCACGTCGACATTTGTCGCATATCTTGGATCGCTTACAACTGCGCAGGATGTTCCCGTAGCAATTTAGTATCGAGGTTTGTAACGAGCATCTTTGATCTTATCGATTTACCTAAGTACACAATGGAACTTCAGCAGGCGACGAGCAGGAGGCTCTTTAGTGAACGGAAATAAGGCAAAGAATATTTCATGCATCTGACGGAGATGAGGGTAGGTTCACCCTAATAACAATTCACCCCTCATAGATAAGAGTGATTGCTCGCGCGGATGACCAAATTTAATACCGAGTATAGAGAATTTGGCACTCAACATTCGAGCTCAGAGATCTCCAATAAGTGAGCTTTTGGTGGGCGAGTTGAACGCAGAGCCTTCTAGGGCCGAGAAATTCATTAAGTAGAATTCCACTGTGAAGACGTATTGCAAGTCCACCCACCTTTTGTGTGGCATGGCTGAACGCTTCCACATAATGAAGGTAGCCTTCATGACCAGGTGTTCCTTCAAGGTGGAAAGTTGCGATAGTACGTGCTGAAATTCCAATATAATATATAAATAAGTGAGGCAATAGTACTTTCTGTCTACTTAGATCACTCGCAGTGAACTGTAAGTCATACCTCCGGGAGCTGGATGTGGATGTTGACCATCGATGTGTGATCCGAGCGGATCGTCGGCTGTTGTACTTGCAAACTCTGTGTAGACTTTGGCACCACCATACGAGTACACGTGCACATAGCATGCTCCAGGAGATCTCAACTGAAAATCGAGGCAGAATTGAAACGATGAAGCGAACGGAAAAAAAGCTGAAGAGGCATGGAGTTGCTCGTACCGAAAGAGTGTAAGTTCCTGGCAGACCCTCAGTGTCGATCCTGTACAGCTTCGTACCAGCAACGTTGAATAACACATCAGTAGCTATGTCGTCTGTAAAAGGAGCCATCTGTTTTTCATTGTGCAGGACCAAATAAGCCGAAGTAAAAGGTCGCAGGGAAATAGGCACACTTGTGCACATAGGAGCCTCCAGATTCCTGGTCCACCATATTCAATTACAGCACCCATTTTAGGCGTCAAATCTTCGTTTTTAGCCGATGTTACCATGGTATGACCAGGGCGTGTGACCAGTTTGGCTGTCACATACATGTGGCAAAAAGAGACACTTCCCTCCACTTTTGGAACGGAATTAATAACACTTCGCTGAACTCAAACCGCATGATTCGGTTAGATAATTAAAGCAACAGTCCCAGCAGGGTTTTTACCTTCGACACTAATGGTGTGGAACGATGCGCTAGCCCTAGTCAAGAACATAAAAGTGTGACTGAACAAAAAACTCACCTTGGAAAGCCGCTAGAAAGGGAGCTGAACGGCTTCGAAGTGGGCGTGGTTGTCGGCCGAGGGGATTGCAGCCGACTCAACCACGCCCACTTCGAAGCCGTTCAGCTCCCTTTCTAGCGGCTTTCCAAGGTGAGTTTTTTGTTCAGTCACACTTCTTATGTTCTTGACTAGGGCTAGCGCATCGTTCCACACCATTAGTGGCAAGGCATCGAGGCAAAAGCACTGCTGGGACTTTTGTTCTAAAGAGCACATTGTTATCCACTGGATAACGTTATAATGAACTCCTACACGAGCGGCATCAGAAGAATCAGCCACGCAAACGCGTAAGTTGAGGTTTGGTTTTTTTAGGGTTGAGTCCAAAGAGTTCCTCGAGGGATCGTGATCCTAGTCGAAATTGTCTGGAATGTTGTTCAGGATATTTTCTGCACAGTTAGAGCTATAGTCCCCTAAGGATATCCACCAGCGAATCGAGGAAACTAGCGAGGTCTTCAAGATGGGACAATTACACGGAAGACTCGTGAGGTGATCACACATGGCGGAAGCACATTATGCACCTGCGTATTAAGCTACATTTTGAATTCTTTGCCTGAAAGATCCGCGACAACGGCAACCTTCCTAATGCTAAAGCAAGATCTGGGTAAATAGTTTGAACGCTTCAGTGATAGTAATGGGTGGGAGGTGGTCTGGAAAAGAGGAAGGAAAGCAAACGAAACCACCGATTACGCCCCGCACAGAAACCTCCCCTATTTCAGCCACATTCCACCTTGGAATAGAGAAAGGCGCGTTGGACGAGTTTCACGAACCTAACTCTAGTTGCTCCAGTGCCAATCGACATTGGGTCGCAATGGGACCGCTGCCTCAAATGCGCCCGCGCTTTTCAAGCAGCGCCACATGGCAACTGGATATCGTGAAGCAGTTTACGACAAAGGGTTGAGTTGCGGGTTGGACAAGCTCCTTGCGCCTCAGTCGCGCACTTTCGAGCGGCAAAAGGGGCGCTACATGAACGCTTGTCCGCCTGTCTATTACTCCCGGGATGGAACAGGCGAAGCGCGCTGATGCCGGAGCACGCCTTTGAAGCTTACCCATGTGCGTCATGAGCAAGTGTATCGTTTTTTGCCACTCCTGTTATAAACCTGATATTTCCAAGATTCTCACATTGTGCCTTTGCTTCTGCAGTAAACCTTCCACGTTAGACTCCACTTAAGTACAACGAGTTGTTACATTCTCTGTTGTGTGAACTTGCCCTTAACAATCAACAGAAGCTGTGAAAAATGAAGTAAGTGACAACGACAGACAAAACCGCCTGGATGCTCAGCACAATAGTCGAGTACCTCTGATCTCTAATGGGATATGTGATTACGACAGGCCGAACATTACTGGTGTTCTGCATTAAAGTGTGTGCATTTAGGCTGATGTCAGACTTTCCGAATCGAGCGATTCGCGAGCATCTGCGGGGGTCGCGTGCAGCAAACGGCTCGATTCGCCGTACGCGACCGCGGACGCTAGCGAATTAGCGAATCGCCCGATTTGCAAAGTCTAACATCGGCCTTAGACTCTCATTTGACAACTTTCTTTCCATGGAACAATCATGTTGCATCATAAGGCCCTCGATGACAAAAACTCACGCTTTAACGGATTCACAACGCCAATCGATCCAAATCGCGATGAGGCGGCGACGAAGATTGAACTGGTGTTCTTGTCGATTTCCACATACCAATCGGAATGGCTGACACATTTGAATTGTGCGTCATATGTGGGATTGGTTAACGTGGAGGTACCGTAGAGAGTTGGAAGGAAGGCGTCCATGTACTGCAAAAAAATCATTAATATATTTCATGCACGGGCAAGAAAAGTTCAGAATCCATAATACATACAGCAACATTCACTGAAACTAAAAGCGAGCTCCCTGGGAAGGCACCTCGCCCTATCAGGGATTCCTGTCGCTCCGGCAACATCGTATTTAGGATTTTTTCAGGACAATGTTTCCGGAAATGTTAGAGGCCTACAGCATCCATATTGCAGAGACATGGGCCTTTGAAGATTCCCCTAGCAATCAGTTGTGTTTACAATTAAGAGCTCTATCTTGTGTTTAGTTCTTCACAGATAGAGGTGCGATACCTATAGAATTCGCACTAATCACCTTTTAGTGCCTCACTCCTCTAAAACTGAGCCGCATTTTGATCGAAAGTTTTTCCATGAGTATGAATTTGGCTAGGAAGCCGTCTGCTAGGGGTCACGGCTCTAGAGTAACGTCAATGCGTTAGAATCGAATATCGCTATCAGTTTGGCCCGGTAAGCTTGGCGCCTCGCAGGCGCTCCGCCCCGCCTACACATAGCGTTATGTGCCCACCAACTTAGTGTAGGCCTTAAGCTCACTCTACAACGAACATAATGCTGACCTTCCCGCTTCGCCTCTCCCCACCGGCGCCACCTTCGAAACCAACCACTCGCACGACACAAGTCTCCCCACGCCCCGAACTTATCGACGGTCCCCCCCCCATCTACCCGCCCCCGCCTCCCCTCCACTTTTGGCGCCGCGGCGTAGGCGCCAGGCATCACGCCAAACGAATGTGATATTCGTATTCTATGAATCGAACTATCTCAGGGCAGCATTCAAGCGGAACGCCAGTCAGGGAAAAAAAGTTCGACAAAAATTCAGGTCGTTTCGGAGGATGAGGCAGTAAAAGGAGAATAGTGCCTAGAATTTTAATGCGTAGACTTGGCTCAACCGACGACGTGCTCAGCGTGAGAATCCTTAATATTATAGTATTAAACATTTCCCAAGCACACCTTGTGAAGGTTCCTGCCGTTGGTGAAAGCCACGTTTCCACCGGACGTGTAGGCGGTTGCGGCAATTGAAGCCATTACTGTATCTTGAATTGCGCATTCTTCCTCGTCACGAAGAAGTAGTTCATCTGAAGAAAATACGAATGAATCAAAAACGCTGTAAGTTGCGATAAAAAATCAGGGGTTATAATCAGAATCAAAGACCAATTGTCGAAGTAATTAGTTGCGCGACTGAACAGACGCACCCCTTGGACCGAACCTCGCTGCTAATCTGTCCCCCCACCCCCAAGTACCCCCATGCCCTCAACAAGCTGTAGGGAGTTGCACGTTCGACAGACCCTTTGTAATGCCCGTCGTTTCACACTCACGCCACCCGGCTGGGCCGACGCACACCAGTCGGCCATCGCCTTCCCCGTGCGAAGTCGGTGTCACTTAGGACACTGGCTGGTTCTAAGAATCGAATCATATGCTGATTAGCGCATGACGTGGTTGCCGATCTAGCGAGCTTCCACCCGCGTGGATAAGTCGGCCTCTCCCAGTAGCAACCCTTTAGATATTGACAGCGCCCGCATCATACACTCGACATACTCACCGGCATGCGCCCCCCCACACTGGCACACTATGGCCACATTCGCATTCAAAATGCCCACTCAGATGTGGGGGGGGGGGTGGCGCGGGCATTATCAAGCGGATGTTGCAACCCTTAGATAGAACCGATGCCCATTACCATTCTTCACCAGCTCTCTATTTAGATTGTCCCATGGGCACCCAGCCCCCTGCGAGACAACATGAACCCCAAACATCGCCCAAGCTCGGCGCCCACCTTCTCGCCAGCAAGCTAATCTCATCCCATGCTGAAGACCCTAGAATTTTTACGCACGATCTATTATGCTCATCTGATGGTCATAGGCCGAATGACCTACATGTGGGAAGGCAATGTTTGGGCTCAGACCCCTAAGAAGTCCTTACCATGGCTAGAAGTGCTGGGTATGCAAGTGCAAAGGTAGCGCCACCTTTCTACATCGAAACGCGTCACTAGGACCCTAGGCGCCATGGACTTCTAACAGACTCCACCAAACTTAACATGGTCCGCCCACCTGCCATTTGATATCTTGTCTACGTCGCCACGTGCTACGCTCTCTCTTCTCGAACTTCTCCTACCCCTCTCCTCGCTCTCACATTATCTCTCATCTGCCCGTCTGCCTTTTAAACTTCATCACAGCATGGAGCAAAATGCTCGTCTTTCCTGCGTACTTCACGATTTTCTTTCCTTTCTCCTCCACTGAAGGTCCACCTCCCACCTCTATCTCACATGTGAGTGGAATCACCCCATCGATTTAATCCTGATTCTTGCCTTTAACCGTTATGCTCAGGGAGGTGGCTCAAAAAGTTAAGGGAAAATTAGCTGGCCGATTCCTTTCAAGCATCATACAGTCGCCGAAGCCCACCAACCGCCTTTCCCTTCATCAGTCACCCGGTAACTGAGTGATACGTTTCATCCTTAGCAACTAGAAGTCTTTAGCCTCCGACAGGCTCCGATAATGGAGTTGCGGAGGTGCAGTAGTCGTTGAGATCCAAAGTAGGGTGTTGATGTCCTGATAAAGTTTACGATGAAAAGACAGCCCACTAAAAATCACGGTAGAGGTGGTCAGAGATGCAGTGGTGAAGACAAAACCAAGAATAACAAACTGAAAGGTGAGAGCCTCCTTTGCCAGTTAACGCTCTCTCTGCTAGGCAACTAGAGAAAGATGGTGAGGGTGTGGGTGGACCAAGGCGATACGCGGGGACGGTCATGCTATACCGCCGAGGTATGTACATAGTTCGCTGCGAACTTTGTGTCGGTCTGCATCCCTTTCAGAATTCGCCTGCCTTACCCCTAGGTAGGTTCAAACTTCTTGAATTCTACTTTATATCGCGAAATTCTCCATCGGACCTGCCCCTCCAGCAACTTCCACATACTTATTCATTTATCTTTTTTCTATCTATCTTTTATTTATCTTTCTATCTTTTGATTGCTATTCTAACAGATACGCCTAAATAGCTGGGAGCTTGCGATCCTTTTCGCATGGTTGAATGCGCCCATAAGATGTGTAGCAGTCACTTCTAAGAGGTCATTTCTCACTAGTGGAGCACTGAAGGAACTTACATGAGCTTGTGTGTCACTGAGAAGCTCAACGGCTCCCAGGCGATTTTCATCGTCATTGGGAACAGCGGTGGTTGTGATGAAGAGCTCGCTGTTCGGATATGCCACAGATTGCTTGAGAGCGTCTTGGATGGCGCTGAAATAAGCAACACTTCGAGCAGAGCCTTTCTTCTAGATCTACATGTGATAATCGAATCAAACCTACCGATAGACTGGTAGCGTGCAGTCCCCGGGATCGGTTGCTTTACGGACCGCCGACCTCAAACTTTTCACTAACTGCGAAATCGTACTAAACTCGGCCGCTGAGGTGGTGCCACTAGCTGAACATGTTGTAAATCTCAGCGTTTACTTAATCAATCCTTCTTATATAAAACGCTAACTTCGTGTGTCGGCTCCAATACATATGCATTTATTATGTATGAATTATGTACATACATACACTGCGACGCATAATTATAGTTCCACCTACAAATTTCCCAAAAACTTGAATCTGGGGATGTTTTTGGAAAAGGCTCTACAGATAAATTGTGACACATATAAACGCGAATCTGAATATTAACACGGAAATCCAGTTTGAGAAAGCAACAATTTTTTATCCTTATTTTTTCGAAAATATCCGCTTTAGCTTCTCCGCTGCATTTTGCTTTTACCCAATCAAAATTTGGAATTATTATCCATTCAAGTTCCTTAGCTTATAGCAAAGGCAAAACCGCTGTCACACTTTCGTAAA